GGAGTTTTGCGTGGGTGTATAAATTCCTTTCTACCCCGGCTATGGCTACAAGCCGAGCTACAAGCCCTTCTTCCTCTGCAGGCTCTGCTCCTTTTATAAACGTTTGTGATAAAGAACTAAGTGAGTTTGTGGGTATATTTGACATTTAATAAAGTGTATTTCAGGTATTGATGAGTATCATTCAGTGTATGATAAAGTGAAGCCTATTTCTGCTAGTTGGAAGTCATTCGCCATTTCATTACGTTTGAGAATAACTGACATTAATATCATAGAAGCTAGCTCTCACGGAAATACAATTTCTTGCCTGCAGAAAGTTTTAGAGTATTGGCTAAAGAAAAATTATGATTATGAATCTCATGGTATTCCCTGCTGGAGAATGGTGTGTGTAGCTGTTAAAGAAGGAGGAGGAAATCCAGCATTAGCTAATGAAATAGCTCGTGAACATCCTCTACCAGCTACCGTGGGAGTCTCTATTAACGTTATTCATAGTGAAGGAATGTCACCTGGTTCATCAGGTATATTTACCAAACTAGGAATGATCGTGAGTATTTTTGTAGGAGGATACAACTCAAATGATAATGACATTTTACTCCCACTACCATCAGCCGATAGAAGAGATATCTCTTCTTTTGATGATGCAATGTCACCTGGAAGTGGAAAATCAAATAGTTCAACATGTAAGAATACCATATTTTATGGAGAATGATTTTGCAAATCCTTAAAATAACTTCATTTGCAGACTAAATTTCTGCAGTTTTAATAGGAGTCAAGCATGAATTTCATTATTTGCAATTTAAATTTTATGCTTTTATGCATTCACAAATCGCAAAACTAAATTCTCTACAGTAATTTCATGCTACTGTAGATTGGGAAGTCTTCAAATTACAAATAATTGTTTTGAAATTTTTTTGTAATTTTGTTGTTATTAATCATTTTTATGAGTCATAAGATTCCAGTATAGTAGTAGCAAGAGTAGAGTGTAGCCCTTACAAATGAAGTATTTATGCAAGTATGTGTGGGCGTGACTAGGAGATGTGGCTAGGAGGCGGAGCCCATTAATGCTTTACATTCTTCTAGTATACTGTATAACTAGAAATTTGCAGTGTTAGAATTTAACGAATTGGCCCTAAAAGAGGTTTGAAGGTTAAATTTTGACAAAATTTTACCATGTGCAGCATGCTCTTACAAAAAATTGGAGACTAAAATTTTGAAATGCACCTCAATTTGCCTATTGCATCAAAGTTTTCTCCATCAAATTTTCAAGCTACATGGTATGCTAATACATGAAAAATCAAACAATTCATATTATTTGTAATAACAACGTAATAAAAATGTAAGAGTACCAAAATTAGCGCATCAACCATTTTCCAGTTTATAAATTTATATATTAATAGTTTAACATTCAAATTAGTGCTCACTTACATTGCATGCCAGGAAATGATCTTATACATGTGTAGCTATAATATCCAGTGACAGACAAAAATTCATTTTAGGTACTGATGGATATGGCTCTTCTGAAAAAAGCTTCCACTTGACAAGCGAGCTACATGATCTACAGGAAGAATTTGACGAGGCGTTTCGTATTACAAAAAAATCCTTCGAATCAAGTGATTTACCTGAAATTATTGACTACCTTCAAACACATGTCAAGTCATTACTTGGTCCTAAAATGAGAAAGCAATCAACGGCTCAAGCAGTTAGGGAAGAGTTTGAATGCATAAAAACGATACCAAAACTATTCACTGTGCTACAAGACAAGTACGTATCATGGTTCAACTATAAACTTATGATAAAACTTGTTGGAGTATTTCTCCCTGAAAATTGTTCGCTGAAGAGAACTTGGTCGTCATATGAAGAGAAGTTAAAGGATTATTTTATAAACAGTGGTGGACTATTGAAAGATGCTGATGCTGTACAGTTTGGTGTAAAAGGTGTTCCTCCTGGTACACGAGTAATGATTGCTAGAGTTGACAGAGATGACTACACACTGGATGACATATTCTTCTTTCGTAGAGCAATACCAAAAGGATTGGATGTTCCTGAATATGATCTTTACTTCT